CACTACCAAAAGGACTGAAGGCCATGCCCCGTCGGTCAGATACTCTTTTTGCTAAGGAAGGCAGTGGTACACGCCTTGACAGTCATCTGAGCAATGGGTTGGCAGGCAAGGCAAGCTCTGCGACTTGCTAGGTGTATACATCCTGGGCACCTTTGCTCTTTGTCTGAGAAATGGAGTAATAATGAAAGTCACCTTGAGAGTTTATTGAGCTTGTTGTGACAAGGGCTGGAGAAAGCACTTCGTGAAATTCAGAAGGTAGGTATTATTAAGAAAATAAAGTTGGAGATGCAAGGGTAGAGATGTGGGTTCTCCCTCCCTGCCTCCCTTCTTACTTCTTTCTAAAAACCTTTCATTGATGTAAAACATTTGCACAGAAAAGTGCACAATTCAGAAATATGTTCCTTGTCCTTAAACATTTTTTTCTAAAACAAGTGGAAGGGAGAGAGAGAGAGAAACAGCGATCAGGGCTGGGGGTGGAGCCTGCAACCCACGTACATGCCCTTGGCCAGAATTGAACCTGGGACCCTCCAGTCCTCGGGCCAAGGCTCTAACCACTGAACCAAACTGGCCAGGGCTAAAACAAGCAAACTCTTAAGTTCTTTTCACTTTGTGCACTTTCCAAAACCTCCAGTGAGCTAGAATTACTCTTATAATCAGAAAAATGCCACCTTTTCATGTGTAGTTTCTGGTGCTTGGCGAGCTTCCCCGTATGAAGCATTTGAAAACGCCTTATCTTGCTCGGGCTCTGCCAGGGCCCTGGGAAAAGGCCCAGAAGGAATGCATTTCCTTGTGGGTAAGGCACGGAAACCGCTGTTCTCTGGGGCGCGGGGGACTGCAGGTGGCGTCGTGTGTAAGCACCGGGCAGCGAGCCACCCGAGCCACCGTGGGCCCCTGCCCAGGCGGGCCCTGCGCTGGGCCAGCTCCCGCACCCCACCCACGGGCCCCGCCAGCTCTAATGGAAAAGGCTCGGGCTCGCCAGACCAGGGCTCTAGAAAATTCTACTCTGGGAATCCGCCCTAAATTAGCTGTTGTGATGCTGTTAATCTTTATGTGCAAATGCATTTAATGCAGCAGTTTAATAGCGAACATCTCGGATGGATGTAAGCGTTCAGCAGAGGAAGTTGGGTAAATACAGTTAGCCGTTGAAAGGTGGAATATTTCACTGCCATTTAAATATAGCCCTGGAATACAGATCATGGGTTTTAATGTTTGCTGAAGGAAGGATCGACTGGTGCAGAGACGGAGGGGGGCCTAGGATATAAATCCGTAGACAGCTGCCAACGGAAGGAAATGTGCCAACCGGGTAAGCAGGTCTCCTCCTGGGAGGCGTGGCCAGTGACGGTTTTCTTCTTAATTAATAGCTCGAACTGCCTGTGGTGAGCATGTCGATTCCAGAGAAATGGAAGTAAGGAGCCAAGCGTTTAAATCTCCAGCAGGCCCCTACCTCAGCCCTCTCTCTCCCTTCTCCACTTTTAACACTCAGTTGTAGAATCTTCTAGATATTTTCTTTGAATCCACCAGGTATGGCTTTTAAAACGTACATGTACAGCCCTGGCCAGTGTGGCTCAGGTGGTGGAGCGTCATCCCCTGCACCGAGAGGTCACTGGTTCGATTCCGGGTCGGGGTACATGCCCGGGTTGGGGGGCTGGATAGAGGCAGCTGATCGATGTTCCTCTCTCCCTCTCTCTCCTTCCCCTTCTCTCTAAAAAGTAAATAAAAACATTAAGAAAATCAACTTACATGTACACCCAGAAAAGTCATGGGGTGGGGGAGGAAACAAGCGCTGGGCTCCTGACCCCCAGTCCCACTCTAACCCTTCGTCTCCTGGGGGCTGGGCTGGAGGGGCCTGGA